CACACACACACACACACACACACACACACACACACACACACACACACACACACACACACACACAATACTGTACAAGATTGGATGCCTTTTAACAGCATCACCTTTCTTACCGAATACATTGTTTTTGCTCATTTCAACAGGTAGCGATGTCTGCTCGATTAAATAAAATTTTTGAAATGACGCTTGTGGCAGGTGAGGTCTCCTGATCTACCAATTACCATTCAATATCATAAATATTACAGATCATTGAGTTTTATTACTGTTTAACATCACTTAATTATTTCAAGCCAAGTTTGTAAAAATCAAATCAAATCAAAACAACTTCTCAGTCAGGTTATTGTTTTACTTCATTTCAAATTTTATTAGCCTTTATCAGCCTGCATCATGCACGAGAGCGGTTTCATAATCTGTCTTTTGTTCCATCAAGGCCAACCAACAAGTCAAACCGGTGGAGAAGGAAGGAAAGTACAGTTAAACTATGGCAAAGAAAACTGAACAAAACAAAACAAAATTAAAACACAGGAAGGACTCCGCACCGACACRACTGTCCTCGTCTCGTAATTAACGTCTGAGACCTGTTTGTGATCTTTTTTTGACAACATGGACGGTCAGTTGAGTTTACTTTCATCATTTGATAACATATTTTCTTTCATCCACCAAACTTTGCAACAAATAGAAGTTTAAATTTAAAACTAAGATTTAAGTACTGTAAAGTATTGACCTTCTTGGATACTGTATGTACAGCTGTGATGAACTGCAATACCTAATCACAATACTCATAATCACAAAAACACACTTTACATTTTCAGGTCGTGTTAATGTGGGTTTGATACAACAGGGGGAAAATGGCAAATGATAGCTTTATCCTGTTCAAATGTTGTATGATAATGATGCAAATACAAGCATTTAAGACCATTGTAATGTTGGCTTTCCAAGGGACTATCAAATCAAATATAAAGCAAAATGTATACTCTTGCAAAATTTTTAATTAAATATAAACAATAAGCAAGATTTTCTTTCAACTTGTATAAATATATATTAAACATGGAACTGAAACATTTTACTTGAAATGTAAACCAGCACATTCAGTGGAATATCAATAACAGTATCAGTACGAGTAGTATTGGTCCTGAGTACTGGGGCATTTTAAACTGCTGGTACAGAAATGCTGGTATCAGGACACCGCTAAACAAAACGTAACACATTTTCATTCATCTTAAATGGATAATAGTACAATAAATAAGTGTTGTTGCAAAAGCAAGAACATACAATAAGTTAGATCAATAATGTGTGTTTGTACCAATCTTGTGTTCTAGAGACAAATTCAATGAGGATTGTCATCTTGGGAAAAACTGGATCTGGGAAAAGCAGCCTGGCTAATACCATATTTGGAAGCGATGTCTTTAAAATAAACCATACCCCAGTTTCAGAACCAGGTCTGTCTCKTCCAGAAACCAAGCTTGTCAATGGGAGAAACCTCACTCTCATTGACACCCGTAGTATTTTTGACACATGTGGATCTGAGGCTTTACTAAAGGAAGAGATAGTGCAGTGCATCACAGAGTGTGCCCCAGGACCTCATGCCTTTTTCATCGTGCTCAAAGTGGATAAATTCACAGAGCAGGAGAAAGAYGTGATCAAAAAGATCTGCCAGTACTTTTCAGAAGACGCTCTGAATTTTGCCGCAGTTGTCTTCACACATGGAGACCAGTTGCCTGACGGAATGAGAATTGAGGAATTCGTCAGTCTGAATGAGAGCCTGAGAGACCTGGTGAGGAAATGCGGAGACAGGTGTCATGTTATCGATAACAAATATTGGAAATCAAACAGCGACGACCCCTACAGGAACAATCAGTTCCAAGTTTCAGAGCTACTGAAGACCACTGACAACATTTGGGAGGGAAATGGTGGAAGGTGCTACACCAACACGATGTTACAAGAAGTTAAAAGAGAAATACAGATGGAGGAAGAAAGCTTACGACAGTCTGCATCAAATATGACACCMACGGAAATTAAAAGCAAAGCCAAAAGTAACGTATTCGACGAGTTAATGGTGAGGTTAGTGGGAACTGCAACTGGTGCACTGGTTGGAGCCTTCCTTGGTGTATTTGATAGTGTTTCAGCAATTCTTAAAAAATTGCAAATTTCTCCAAGTACTTTAACCCAAGAAAAAGGCTTGGTTTACAATGAGGCTCTGAGTAGGAGCTTTAGGGGAGGTATGATGGGATTTCATGCAGCTGCAGGAGCAAAAACTACAGGGGAAGCAATTCAGAAAGCTAAGACTGCAGTTCTGAATGATTCGGAAAAATCCATGTTGACTGATTTAGAAAGAGGAGAGCAAAACAACTCATAAAGCACCAAAGAACCACAGACAAGCTGATGTTCTTCTACTTAAATATATTTCACAGCAGCGACAAAGAGTTTTTACCATTGGATTGATGACTGCCACACTAACCCACATCACTTACTATAGGGTATTTGTTCTAAAATTGGTGCAGAGCCGGAGAGGAAGTCAAGGTGGTAAATGCCAACTTCGCACCTGATTGACTTTACTCAGGTGACATCCCCAAACGATTGACAAGTTGGGTGGGATCACWTGAGGCATTAAAAATGGGATGCGTAAGATGGGAAGTTAAAAAAACTAAAAAGGGTGTAAATATCTGTCCAACAGCTGTATTTTATGGTGAAAGGAAACCAATTGGTGTGATGAAGATAAAAAAACTTTTTTGTAACAATGAATTAATGTATAGAAACAAWTCTGTACAATGGTTCTGAGTTTATGAACCAGTTAATAAAACTTTGGTGACATCTAGTGACCACTCTGTAACATACCACATGGCAAGGATCAACTAGAAAACTTCTTTGAGAAATTTTGATGRGGACTGCCATTTTTAGTGTATTATTTTGAACCATTTAAAGTTAGTTGTCAAATCCATCTTGATTGGCATTTAGAGTTTGATAAAGATTGTTTTTTTTTCTACTACATTAATTTTTACCTTTGTCATGGCTGAATTATAGCTTTTTATACAATTGGTAAAATTGGCATTAGCAGTTGCTTTGGATTATGATCCCATCATCTCAATATTTCTTTTAATAGCTGAACTGGAGCCAATTTTGAAATTAGCTATGGAGGCCATCTTGAATTTTTATTTAGCATTCATAAATAAGTAAGATCTGTTTTCCTCTATACTTGACACATTTTTAGCATTGTATATCTAAAGACAACTGAGTTATATTCTTATGAAACGGTTAGCTTGAAATTGGGATTACCTTTCAGAGTTTCAATTGTTTTGGCTACCATTGTTTGACTAAAACCATTTTAAACAACTCAAAATGGTTTTATCATTTCAGGGTTCAACTGGATGTATCACAAGTTAGACAGAGCTACAACTCTGGTTTGGATTGGCCAATTTGCCTCAAATGATCCCACCTACCTTCAAATTAAATCAATAACAACCTAACCGGTCTGTGTCAGTCCAACCAGTCCACAACTGGAAGGAGATAAATGCTGATATTTGTCTTAGCAGTAAGCATTAGCTTCCACTAATTTTATAATCTGATTAGTGGTTTAGAGTTTTAACAGAGCTAAGATTCTGGTTTAGCATTTTATTGGTTAGTGAARCTAACTYTTCRGTTAGTTGTGCCCACCACTACCCAGTCCTTTTYTTGATCTGTTACCCTGTTACCCTAATTAGTTGCAAAATACTWCTTCAGATGTTTTCATTCATACTAAATACTTTCACAGCCTTCCTGTTGCCCTGTCCCATCTTTTTCAATATGTGCATCTGCCATAAAGTTAGCYTTTTTTTAACATTTGATGTGTTTATTGAGGTACATTGTGAAATAAATACAGGTCAATAAAATTACAAATCACTGCATTCTGTTTTTTGTTTTTACTTCAGAATATTATAGCTTTTGACTGAGGGATCTTTTTAAATCTTTTTTGTGTGTTACAGATACAAATTAGTAGTTAAAGGCCTAGCTTATCTTGAAATGATTAATTTTGCCTACTACAGCACATTTGTTGAAAAAAATTACGTTTAACTGTTAGAGCTGACCACGTTTGTCTGTTTGAAACAGGAACAACTCTCTCAACAATAGCTGGTCTTCATTTAACACACTTGGGAGAAACGTGGCGGGTCATAAGCATTACTTTTACTAGCTGAGCTTTTTTTATATACAGATTTTGCACATAATGAGATTAATTTGGGAAAAGTTTAAAGTTTTTTTGTAAGTATAATCAGTTCTAATGTGAATTGACATGTTTTAGAATACTATAGCATAATACATAAATGCATCATTCATGGTGCAGATTTTACTACCTGAATTTATAACAAGTTATTTCTGTGTGGAGTTCTGTTGTTCTATATCTGTTTGGACCTGTTGAAAGAACCTATCAAGTTCAAGTTCAAGAATCTTTATTATCCCCGAGGGGCAATTTATTTTACAACCAATAGAGTAAAAACAACTAAAAACAACTAAACAAAAACATTCATACACAAAATCACAAATGTTCGTTAAGGAATTTAACTGCTGCTGGGATAAATGAGTTTTTAAATCTGTTTGTCCTACATTTGGTCGACTGGTATCTGCGTCCAGACGGGAGCAGCCTGAACTCACMATGGAGTGGGTGATCARSGTCTGCCAGGATCAGTCTGGCCTTTTTCACTGACCTGACMTTGTGTAGGTCAGTGAGATTTTGCAGGTCAATTCCAGCAATTCTGCTGCACATCTTGACAATCCCCAAGAGTTTGTTTTTGTTCTTACAGGTTAAAATGCCATACCGACAGATAAAAGTAAAGGTTAAAAGAGTCTCAATAAAACACGAATAAAACATTCTCATAAAAGTAGAATGGACATTAGAGCTTCCGATAAAAACACATCCTCTGATGGGCCTTCTTACAAAGTGAGTTAACGTACCATGACCATCCCCTGTGGACACAGCTACTGCAAGAGACCTGCTGGGACCGAGAGGAGAAGGAGAAGAGACAGTCCAGCTGTCCTCAGTGCAGTCCTCAGTCCCTCTCTAACTGTTTGACAGTCTTTATTTTCCAGCCTTTGAGAAACTTGTTTAATACTTTTGAGTGACTGGATTTATTTGAGACGTGCAATTTTTCACATTAGGACAACCAGAACAGAATTGAACTTATTGTAGCACCATTTTCATTGCAGCTGCTGTGTTATAGGATGAGAGACATGTGCRATGCCAATCCTTTACCTTGCTCTCCTCAACATCATCTTTTGCCAGTTTGCAGTACTGTTCAAGTTAGTGTAATCCAACTTCAACACTCTTAAACATGGAGTTGACAAACGTTTTACTTTTTATACAGAGTAGCTTTTGATTATCAGTGCATTTTGTAAATGGATAAATGCTGAGATTGGGTCATTTAATCACAAAGCTTTATCATCTGCAAGATGTTTAGAGTGTAACTGTGAAATGAACAATTCTAATATTTCACATTAACAGACTTTATTTTGGARGAGTGTAGGTGCCCAGAGTGAACTGGGTTATTTCAGTGACAGACTCAGAGGAAGGAAGAAGACGGGTCCCTCAGACACGGGTGCTCCAAATTATCCACGTGTTATCTTGTGGCCAAATGTTAATTCATGGTCACAAGATAAGTCAGTCAGTCAGACAGTCAGTCAGTCAGTCAGTCAGTCAGTCAGTCAGTCAGTCAGTCAGTCAGTCAGTCAATAAGTCAGTAAGTCAGTAAGTCAGTCAGTAATTAAGTCAGTAAGTAAGTAAGTCAGTCAGTCAGTCAGTCAGTCAGTCAGTCAGTCAGTCAGTCAGTCAGTCAGTCAGTCAGTCAGTAAGTCAGTCAGTCAGTCAGTCAGTCAGTCAGTAAGTTAGTCAGTCAGTAAGTCAAGTCAGTCAGTCAGTCAGTAAGTTAGTCAGTCAGTAAGTCAAGTCAGTCAGTAAGTCAGTAAGTAAGTAGGTCAGTCAGTCAGTCAGTCAGTCAGTCAGTCAGTCAGTCAGTCAGTCAGTCAGTCAGTCAGTCAGTCAGTCAGTAAACTTTATTTATAAAGCATCTTTCACAGGTCAGAAACCACAAAGTGCTTTGCAAGAAGACATAAAAACCCAGGAAATAAATCAAGATAGATAAAACAAAACATACATGCGATAAAAAATATTACATGTGGGAAAAGAGGGGAAAAATATAATCAATTAAAAATTAGTTAAAAGCCAATCTGAACAAATGAGTCTTCGGCTCCTTTTTGAAAATTTCAAGAGAATCAAGGCAGCACAAAGTTAATGAAAGATAAATGTGGAGTTGTCTTTTTTTTTTAAATCAAATGTCACTGAATGATACTATAAAATTATTTAAAGATTTTTTAATAAGCAAAAACAGAAGCAAGACAATCTTGACACACTTCATACCAGTAGGTGGCGGTAATGTACACCTCCTGATGTGTCATCTGCCATTACAAGACGAGTTGTCTCTAGATATATTAATTGAAGTACAACCAACACTTTTATACAATCTTATGCTCCAGCACATCATGGGGTTATGGGGAATGAAATGGCAGACAGGATGGCTAATGTTTACCTTCCGTTGTTTGCCAACCGCCATAAAACAACATACAAGAAGGAGGAAAAAAATCCCCGTGTCCCCTCTCGGGCTCCGTAGTGTTGTTTGTTTTTCTCTGATGTGGCGCAGCAGAGGAGCTTTTGCGCTCACTCACCACAGGTTTCATGTCACACCGGGGCGATGGAGGAGAATAACATGAACTGTGTTTTCTTTGAGTGTCAGCGCAGWCTYTCARCAAAMGAAAAGAMAAAAGTAACAACATATTTCAGTGTTCRTCGCAAATCAGGCGGAGGAGACTGCGGACYTTTAACMCCTGTGGCTGATAACTTCTACAGAATATCCTTCAGACATCAGAAAGGTAAGTTCATTATTTACAAAATCAGTTCAGTATTTAATTCGCATATTTTGGTTTTAAGACCTGCTATAGGCTAACAGACATATTTCTTTTTTAAAATGCATATAAATCATGCTCATATCAAATTTAGTCGTCATAATAAATACTGCAATGAGCAAATGATCTGTTTAAAAACTGTGTGAGCYGAAAGACAATTTGATTTAAATCAGGACATTTCCCAGGAAAGTGAAACTTAACAGGCGCTGCTGGTGTTGTGTCGAGTTTTGTTTCCCCAGGCAGAGCTCAACCCCCGCCCATAGAAACCAGGCAACAGGACGAGTTCCCTGAATAAATG